GGGGATGTCCAGTTGCCTACAGATGGGCTTTGGGTCCCTACTCCGCACTCCCCCTCATTCACAGTGATATGATTTTTTGTTCTTTGATGCCTGATACCACCTCGTGATCACACAGGCTGGTGTGCTTCTTCCATGTGGGCTTTGTGGCTTCTGAACTAGATGGCTACTTGTTTACCATGAACAACTACTTTTATGTTTAATCCCGTCCGCATTTAAAACACACATATTCACTGCTCCAACAATCGCAAGCCTGCCAATCGCCTTGCCAAAGCACATACTGAGCGCCTAAAGAACGCAGACCACCTGAGGAATCCCAGCAACAGAAAAAAAAACACACCGAGGTCTATATCCATTATTGCTAAGAATTCCAAGACATACCAACTCATACAAACAAAGAGGACGGCTCTGCTGTTTGCCAGTGCGTGAAAAGCACGGGACTACATCTGCAAGAGCACTCGAGTACGCGAATACCTCGGGGAAAGAAAAGAAACGGCTAGGCCGCGGTCATGTTTGAACTTGGCACAGAACGCTCCGGTGCGCCTCCGAGCAGTCAACAGCTACTTTTATAGCGTGGTCAAACGAACGCAGAGACCACCAGGCCTTAACGAGCAGGATCGCTCAGGGAAGGCTGCCCGTCTTGCCCTCCTCCATCGTTCTGTGCCGTCGCTGCCCAGATCCCCTAGCCCATTCCACAGGCTCCTGCGCGGTCGCTGATCAGCTCCACCTGGTCAGGTACCCAGGCCAGCTCCTGGCTCCGTCCCGCCCCCAGGCACCCGAGCGCAACCTCGACGCGGCACTCACCAGACACAGGCGAGGGGTCCCTCTTGGGCTGGAGGCGATGGGTCTGGGGCAGGAAGGGGTTGTTAAGCCTACGGGACGCATGAGGGTCAGTCGGGAGCGGGGGCCTGGCTGCCCCGGGCCCCGCGCCGCCCGGCGAGTCGGCTCACCCGAACGTGTTGGGCTCCTCCACCACCTTCATCTTGGCGCCCCGCGCGGGCTTCGGCCCTAGGAGGAGCGAGGGGTGAGAGGCGCGCGGGGGAGCCCGGTGGGCAGTGCGAGGGCAGGACGCGTGGGGACGCGGACGCCTGGGCAGTGGGGCATCACGGCCGCCCGGCCACTTACCGCGCGCGGCGAGCCCGAGGAGCAGCAGGAAGCGCACCGTCCTCGCCGCCATCGCTCCTCCGGCCGGCCCGGGTCACGTGGGGCGGGGCGTCATGCGCGCGCCGGAAGCGGAGGTGTGGCCCCGCGCGTGCGCAGACGCTCGCGGACGCCGGCTGGCTGGGAAGCAGTCCGCCGGCGCCTCTAGGAGAGCCGGGCTCCCCGCCATGGGCCGCCGGAGGGCTGCCCGCGGAGCCCGGGCCGTGGCCGAAGGCGGCCGCGCTCGGCGTTCAGCGGGCCACTCCCTGGAGGCCTTCGCCGAGGAGGTCGGCGCCGCTCTGCGCGGTGAGCAACAGGGGGACTGGGAAGAGCGCCGAGGCGGGGTTGGAGGTGGAGGGCCAACCGGGGGACCCGCTCCTGACGCCTGATCGCCTCCTCTCACCTGGTGCAGCGTCCGTGGAGGCAGAGGCGGCCGGGGATGAGGGCTGCCCGCGCGCTGTGGAGCTGCCCTGCGCTCTGGCCATGTGGGAGCTGGGTCACTGCGACCCCCGGCGTTGCACGGGCCGCAAGCTGGCCCGCCTGGGCCTGGTGCGCTGCCTGCGGCTGGGCCACCGCTTCGGCGGCCTGGTGCTCAGCCCCGTGGGCACTCAGTATGTATCCCCCGCAGACAGGTAAGCGCGGGAGGCCTGGGTGGCAGATAGGATCTTGGCAAGTACCAGCAAAGACTTGCCTCTTGCCACCCGTCTAGTGCTTCATTCCTTTTGGGGCTCACTGATTTGTACCTGTTTATCAGATGTGTGCACCCCACCTCACCCCACCCCTACGGTGGTCATATGTAGACTAGGTACCTATTCGCTCTTAGGGCCCGTGGCAGAACTTAGAATATAGAAGAACTACAGCAAATGTGTGTGGAGAACTGGCTTGTTCCCTTCCAAGAGTGACCCTTGGAGGGGTGTGAATGGGGTTGGGGCTTGATGTCCTTGTATTTTCAGTTAGGTCAGGTCCCTTGGGGTGGGGGTGGGGGTCAGCACAGAGGCCGTAATGACCCCCTCCGACAACCCAGCCTTGTGCTGTCCTTGGCAGAGAGCTGGTGGCTCAGTCAGGGGTTGCCGTCATTGACTGCTCCTGGGCCAGACTGGACGAGACACCATTTGGCAAGATGCGGGGCGGGCACCCAAGGTTGCTACCCTACTTGGTGGCTGCCAACCCTGTGAACTATGGCCGCCCCTGCAAGCTGTCCTGCGTGGAGGCCTTCGCAGCCACCTTCTGCATCTTGGGTGAGTATCCCAGTCTGGACCAGCTGCAACAAGGTACCCAGGGACTGGGTCCTAGCTTCCCCTTCAAGCTCTGGCTTCAGAGAGTGCCCTGGCCAGCACTCAGTTACAGGCAGACCTTGGGAACACTCTCGGCTCAGGGCCAGAACTTGAGTCCCACGAGGGCAGCACAGACTAGAATTACACTGGCACAGACCTGTAGTGTGTTGCGTGTGCAATAGCTCGATGAGAAGGTTTGAGATAGTGAGAGAAATGACAAGAAACGGGGCCCAGAGACTTGGAGGGAGCACTTGATGTTGAGAAGACCAGCATGTGGGAAATGCTATGTCTTCAGAACTCAGCGAAGAGCTGTATCCACTTGGTCCAGAGTCCCCCTTCGCCGTCTTGACCACGGAGAGGCCCCACAGACAGATAAGACAGCTGGCGGAGAGGCCCCACAGACAGACAGCCGGGGGCGGGGGACACCCGTTGTCTTCAAAGAGCAGAGCTTGGTGGGCTTCAGAGGACAGTGGGATGATGTGGGTGCTGGTAAGCGGGCCAGGCTGCATGGAGTGTGGCTGGGAAGGGGAGGGACCTCTCAGTTCTCAGGGTTGTCTAGACCCTCTTGGGAAATGGGCCACGGGCATCGTGGGCACTCCATGTCCCCCCTCCAGGCTTCTCTGACCTGGCAGTCATCCTGCTGCGGAAGTTTAAGTGGGGTAAGGGCTTTCTGGACCTGAACCGCCAACTCTTGGACAAGTATGCTACCTGCAGTGGCCCAGAGGAGGTGCTGCAGGCTGAACAGGAATTCCTGGCTACTGCCAAGGAGCCCCCTGCGGAGGAGGAAATTGGTAAGAACTGGCCTATACTCCCTGGCAGGGGTGGTGGCCCCCACAGCCTGCCACCACCTGAGACCTGCTCACTGTCCCCCATTTTCTCCCTCGGTTCAGATCCCTTTGATGTGGATTCAGGGCGGGAGTTTGCAAACCTCAACAGGCCGGTAGCCAGTGCTCAGTAAGGCCTCCATTCGTGGGTCCCACTGCCTTTGGGGATTCTGAATGGGGGAGGGATGCAAAGGCCCAGGGGGTCTGGCTGAGGGGGTCTGGACAAGAGGGGCTGGTACGTGGCTTGGAAAGTGTGCCAGGGAGGCCCGCCTGGGGCTGGGTCGGGGGAAAGCCCTCAGGGACACTCTGATCCTTTCAGGCCACCCCTGGACAGTGATGACAGTGAAGAGGATGAGGATCAGGGGCCTTGTGCCAAGGATGGAGCAGGTTGTGACGGCGGCGGTGGCGGCAGCAGCTCAGAGGAAGAGAAGACTGTGCCAGGATATGCCACAGGCACCGCAGAAGGCGTTTGGAAAGGAATCAGGAGGCGGCAAAGAGACTGAGGGGTCACAGAGATCTGTATTTTTCACAGAGGGAGGACTGGGAGGACACTGGGAGTGGGGTGGAGACAGGCCTGGTGGTTTCGGCCCCAGTAGCCAGTAGCCAGCAGCAGCACTAGATTTAGGCTTGCCTAGGTCCTGCCCTAGGGCCCGAGCCCCTCGAAGCTGAAGTCAGGGAGCCCAGATGAGCCTGCTTGTTCACACCTGATGTAGAACCCCTGGGCTGGGGGCTCTCAGCCTCCATCTGGGCAGACTTTGCCCCTCAGGAGTGCTTCTGAGGGCCCACCAGCCTTAGGCAATGTCCCTGCTTAGTGATACCAGGGCATCTGACCCAGGTGTGCTTACCAGTTGGAGAGAGACCCCCACCTCCATCATCCTTACAAACATCCATATCCAGTAGGGGGGAGGGAGCAGGGAGGATACCAGCCCAGTTCAGCCTCCAGGCCATCTGCTCTCACCTCCCATATACACACCTACACACATATACCCATCTTTCTTCTAAAGCACAGGTCTGCCAACCTATCTGGCCTGTCCCCTTTTCAGAAAAAAAAAAAAAATTTTACTCTGCATTCTTGAGAATTAAAAGCTTTTGTGCATAGTCCATTGTCCGGGATAAAGTGTGGGCACCTGCTTTTGCAGTCCCTTGATCTTTCCAGCACGCCCAGGGCAGGACCACACTGCTCTAAGACACAGGGCACAGTTTTTATTGGAAGGAAGTCTGGTTTCATGCAAACTGCTCAGCAAGGGCTCCTGGCCTCACTACCTGTGGTGGGGGACACCCACCTGGTGGTCTGATCCCTCTGCCATAGGACAGCCTCTGTTCTTGGCCCCTGAAAGTCTACATCCAGATTTGGGGGTGGGCTTGGGGGTTTACAGGACACATCACACCAACCCATGGGGCAAAGCCACAGATCCAGCCACAGCAGGGCACATGCAGTAGGGGCTGGGGCAGGATGGGCTGAGTGTTACACAGGGGTGAGGGTTCCAGGCTGGAGGCTGGGGCCCGTGAGTGCTCAGGCATCTGCCTCCATGCATTTGTCCAGCTCCCGAAGCCTTTTGACCAAGTCCTGCGCCTCCTTGCTGGTGCGGCCCTCCAGCATTCGCAGCGCTGACCTCACTGCGAGGGTGGGGCCAGGTCAGGTGGGCCTCCACACACCCCACACCCACTAGCCCCGACCCCCACTATGCTCACCCTGGGCCTTGGGCCGGCGCAGGTGCAGTGTGACTGGCTGCCCGGAACGCACACCCCCTCCAGCCTGGGGCCGAGCCACGCCGCTGACGCTAGCCAGGCCGAGGGCCGCCTCGCCTGCAAAGTCGTTGGTGGACAGCCAGTCGTGGTCCATCACGGTGAAGAGCACACAGGCAGCGCGGCGGCGGCACGCCTCGGCCGGCACGGAGCTACAACACAGGCGCACGGTCGCCTAGAGCCCACCGGCCTGCTGGGGGTGGCACGCAGCCCTCCGACCCCGCGCCTGGCCACTCACAAGTAGAAGAGCTGGTCATACACCGGGTGCAAGGTCCGGGCCTTGACCTGGGTCCTCTGACTGCGGACCAGCGGGAAAAAGTGCGGCGGCCCCAGCTCCACGATCACGAAGGGGTCGCTCAGGCCTGGGGGCGGGGCGTACTGGGTTGGTCCGGTCCCCACCCACCTGCCCGCGTCCAGCCGCCCCGAGGTCCCCCACTTACCGTTGGCGTCCAGCGGGAGCAGGTCGGCAGCGTGAAGCACTTCCACCGTCAGCCTCTGCTCGGCCGCCTCGTAGTAGCAGCGGACGCTCAGGCGCCCGAACCGGTTCTGCTCCAGCGGCCTCTGCAGGGAAGCGAAAAGCTGGCCTCGGGGCGGAGTCTCCGGGGCGGGGCCGCCAGCGCCCACCTGGGCCGCCCTACCTGTTTGAGTTTGTCTAAGTAGAACTGCTCGATGCACTCGCGGGTGGAGCATCTATGCAGACGCAGCTCCTCCTCGAGCCTCTGGGAGGAGAGGGAAGGGGTCGCAGGGGTGTGTGTGGGTAGGTGGGTGCGTACGGACACCAGCCGGTGGCTCCCCGGGGTGCTCAGGAGGACGCTGAGGTGGCTGCACTCACCTTGTAGCTGCCATCCCGCAAGGTCTCCAGGGACAGACCCTGGCCTTCAGCGTGGAATAAGCTCACCAAGGCCTGCAGCGGGGGAGGGTGCGGCAGTGGTCATGGGCGGAGCCTGGCTGGGGCCCGGGACAGACGAGGGGGAGGTCCCCAGTTCCTGGAGCCTCGGAACTGGGAGGCCAGGCATCGCCAGGTCTCACCTGAGTCTCATCAGACCCCCCAGGAAGCTCTGGCCAGGGCCGTGCCTCCACCTGAGGCCTGGCTAAGGAGAGGGGCTAGGGGCTGCTGGGACAGGCAGGGGTGCCAGCAGGAGCCCGCCAGGGGGCTGGGCCCCAAGGCTAGCTGGGAGCCAGCCTTGGGCGACGGGACTGGGGCAGGGGCTACCTCCAGCGCAAAGTGGAAGCGGCCATAGAAGTCGGAGGAGACGTCGCGGTGTGCGCCCAGCGCCTGCAGGATCGCCTGCAGCAACAGCTCCCAGAGGGCCTCCAGCACCCTGCGGGCCGGCGTCCGCGGTTACCTCGGGCCACAGCCCCCGCCCCTGTCCGCTCCTCCTCCAAGAGAGGGCCTCCAGGGCCCTGCGGGCCGGCGTCCGCGGTCATCCCGGGCCACACCCCGCGGCCTGCCCGCTCCCAGAGCACCTGGCCAGGTTCTCCTTCTCGAGCGAGGCGTTCAGCAGAGCCAGCTTGTCGTCCAGGCTCTTCATGAGCGGGGCCACGGCCTGCGGGCGGGCTGCTCAGGACGGGCCCCCTCGG